GCCGGTTGAGCTATAGGCGCCGAGCCGGAATCTGGCTTCTTAAGGTTTGAATTCTTGAAGTCAGAAGAGCCTCTGTCTTTTTGCTTTGGCTCAGAGCCTGGCAGAGGGATAAAAAGCCACTGATTCCAAGGGAAGGTTCAGCACAGGAGGCCAGAGTAAGGGTTGAGAAGAAAGTTTAATGATGTGGATAGTTCTAGGAATAAGAAAGGATACTGGATAGATTAAGTTCAAGTGCTGACAAGCCCACCATCCCATCTGCCTTGGAGGGGCAGTTCTCTACAGGGCTCTTGCACACATAAACCCAAGGTTTCAGGGTCCATTGGGTGCAAAAAACAGGTGGAGAAGGATGAATACCTGGTGTCAACATCAGAAGTACATCCAAGGTTTTGCACAGGGTAATCAAACAAAAACTCATCAGACCTTTGCAACCCCCAAAAAGGTAACTCATAAGAGCTCTCAGCCTTGGGCGGCACCTGTGGCTCAAAGGAGTAGGGCACTGGCCCCATATACCGGAGGTGGTGGGTTCAAACCCAGCCCTGGCCAAAAAAAAATGCAAAGGAAAAAAAAAACCTTTCAGCCTTATGAACTGCACATTCCTGTACTAACTCACTTTCTTTTATTTTCTTGAATTAATTCTGTTTAATGTTACATCCCCTACTCAGCTATGAGCAGATATGTGCAAAATCAGTCAGGCAGCAAAAAGGCCAGGGACCCAGGTTGGTGAAGTATGGCTGTCTAATTGTGGGAGATAATAAGCCTCAGAAGATGAGGAAAGACGGGTATGGGCAGTTAAGTAGAATCTGGGGAAGAGTGGAGAGCAGGCAAGAACAGCAATTGGCATAGCCTTTGGCTCAGGCCAGTTCCTACCATGTTGAGGACCAAGAGGGTACCCATTTTGCTTAGGATGCTTTCTGCTCTCCTGATTTGGCTTTGCTTTCTACAGGAGGGGAATGAAAGAACAAGGATACCATAACTTAGAATCATAGGCCCTCTAGTGAATATTCCCACAGGACAGGAAGCTGCTGAGAAGCTCAGGAATGTGGCCAGCTGAGGAATATGAGAATGGGACCGGGGGTGGGTCAGGGTAGTAATAATAGGCACAGATATAATAGTCCCCAGCCACCTGCCTCTAGTAGCCTCTTCCTCACAGGGTTTTTCCCCTAAGGTCTTTCCTCTAGGGACTGACTAGGGCACAGTCACTGGCCAGGCTCTTGGTAGGAAGGCAGGAAGGGCAGCTCTGAGCATGGGGCTTTCAGCCGTAGCACTCCATGTTCCAGGTCAATGCAGCACTGTGGGATGTGGACCGGGTAATGGTAAGGTAAGGTCATTTCAGCAGGTCACCTGTCTCCTCTTTTTTGTTCCACCTCCCACTCCCCACAGCTTCTACCTGCTCTTTGCTCCTCCCCCATTCCCCTTTCTTGTGACCCCATGGAAAGGACTCAGTTCTCTCGATTTTTCACTTAAGGGTGACTAAGTAACCTCTAAGGAAGTGAAGAGACTTGTATATATCTCCAAGTCTCTCAGAACCGGTCCATGCTTCCACATCTGCGCCTTCTCCCTCTTTGTCCCAGAACTTTGGATCAGGCTCTGAGTGTGGGTTCCTTACCTTGAGAGAGAGCAGAGTCTGTAGACCCAGACAGAATTCAGGACTCTCAACATCTGCAGGGACCATTAAAAAAAAAGGCTGAGGTGCCCAGTGGTCACTGCTGCCCTTCTCTCAGCCCTTGCCCCTTTTCTGTCTACCCCATCCCTCAGGTCTGAGGATATGGGCACACAGATTGGGGATAACCAGAGCATCTCTAGGGACATCTGGTGCTGGCAAGGGCTGACAGCCTCTGTCTTTGCCCCACCCAGAAGAGAAAGGTAGAAGAGGTGAGGAACTGGGCCATTGAGGAAGGGAGGACTTACCCACCACTCGGGCTGAGCACGCCACAGTCTCCTGTCCTAGCTGTAGCTCCAACTGCTCCACGTGGGTTGGAGGCTCAAGTGTCACATCCTCTGCTGGGGCTTTTAGGACCTTTTTCCCTAACCTGTGGTTGGGAAGCAAGGGTTATGGGCATGACAGCCCCTTCACCTCACCCATTTCCATTAATCAGCCAATGTCCCCATCTAATATACTTTGGGTTCTCCTCCAGTCCCTCCAAGGAACTGAATCCTTGAAATCCTTGTCTTCTTTTCCCAGAGTCTCTTAGCCACTCTTTTTTTTTTTTTTTT